CGTTCCCCCCCCCCCCCCCCCCCCCTCCCCTCTCCAAAAAAAACCCACCCTATTGGCCCCCAATGCCGTCACCCCAAAAAATACAATAAAATATTTATATAGTGAGTTCTAACACTCAACTTAAGTTTAGATCTTGAGGTGCTGATGACTTTTTAGACTCAGTTATTCTTTTTTTAATTGAATAATTGAAATTATTTTTGAGATAGTGAATTTTAAGAAGACCCATGAGTAAGAAAGGTTATGATTCTTGGGAAAAAAAAAAAACGGTTGTGACGTTTTTGAGAAAAAGTCATCACAAAGTCTATAAATATGTCCTTATTCAACCAAAAAAGCATACCACAATTCTCTCTCTTTCCACTCTCTCATATTGAAAATCGTTCAAAGATAATTTCTTTGAAAATTCTTCAATATTATTGGTAGTAATTTTTCACCCAATATTTGTCCACATGACTTTTAAATCGTAAGACAATACATTTGAGAGTGCTAAAAGATCAACAGTCTAGTAATTTGTTTGTAGAGTCATCATACTAAAAGATCATTTTTACTCGGCGAATATTATGAAAATTAGGTCTTATAATTTAACGTTGTTGATTTTTCTTTAGATCTTCTTGATTGCATCTATTGAATTAATGCAGAGGTGTTGTTCTTGAAAACGATGTCTCTTTACACCAAAAACGACATCATCTGGGATATAAAATGATACAATTTTAAAGAAAAATAACTTTTCGAAAAACATAGAAGTTTTATGTAGAAGTAGTCCTGTCATCCATCTCAAACACCATGACAAGTTCGATTTCGAATTTTGGATAAGAGACACAGTCAATCCTTGGTCATTAGATTCTAGGCCTCACCAAAAAGTTCAAAGCCAAATGGGCCGTCTACGACCCAGAAGCCCAACGGGCTAACGGGGCAGCCCGACCCGTACACGTGGTAGGGCTTGGGTAGCCTGCTAGCCTGGCAGGTAGAGCTTGGGCCGGGTTTTTTAGGGCCAGCCCATTAAGAAGTCCATTAGCCCGTCCATTAGCTCAATAAAATAATTAGATTATATTTCATAACTGTATTTTTTATTTAATATTTGATCTGTAATATTTATAGGTTGAAACTTGTAAATAATTGACAATTGTGTAGGTGTCAATCTAATTAGAATCTACTTAATTTGTAATGATACAAAATAGTCTCACCCACCAATCAATTTGTAATGTAACATCGTAATTCTATATGAATATTTGTTAAATTCAATCAATATGAATAAATTTTTTGTTATTTTTTTTCATTCCAACTTCATGTAATTGATATCTTTTTGCATTTTTTATATAAAAAATAAAATTTGTCGATTTTTTTACATAAAAATTAATTTTTTAATAAAAAGTTTGTTTTAAGCCCAATGGGCAAGCCATAAGGCCCGGCCCGTATTTAGCCCCTTTTTGGCCCAATAGGCCGGGGCCACGAGTGGGCATGGACCTTAAAAATTCCTAACAGGCTGCCCCGTCTGTTGACTAGGCAAAAGTCTAAAGGCTCCGCCCACAGGTGGGCTATGGCCCGGAAAATGTCAGGCTATGTCGGCTGCTGCGAGGCCCATTAGATTCTCATAATATATTTTTGTTCCATATAATTTTATCATCTACATTTGGATTAAACTTGAGAGGATTCGGAAGCAAGCATGGCTATAACAGCAGCTTAGTTACAGGGGCAGCTTGAGACTTTTTGGGGCCTAAAGCAGTAACTGAAAAAGAGATTTTTTATTTTTAAAAATAATATTTTATTTAAAATTTATTCTTCTCGTTTTTTTAAATGCCCATTACCCAAGCTTAAAATGATAATGCTAACGCAGAATTATAAACTTCGTGAATTTTATGGTGTATAAAAATAATAAATAAACAAACAAAGACGGATAGTCAAAATTTTTAAAAAAAAAAAAAAAAAAAGGTAGATCAGTTGCCTTTTGTGTTACCTAGAGAGAGTAAGAGAGATAGATAAATAAAGTGAAAGTGAAAATCTTTTGGTGTTTCAAACTCTTTTACCATGCACACACACACATATAGAGGCAGGTTAGGGGTTGGGAGAAAATGTAGAAAATATCACTTGTTACTGTTATTTTTTTAAAATTTTTAAATTTTGTTATGATATTTTTGGTGACCTAGGTTGGAGAAATAGGTCAAAACTATTCAATTTAAATCTAACTTTAATTTTATTATTGGGCTTAATTTTTATAAAATTATATTTTTTATTTAGGTTAAGAGCATCTCCAACAAGCTCGTTAAAGAGCCCTAGTTAGCTATTTTAGTTAGTTTCCTTCTCAAATTTGGTTCTAAGAGACTAGTTATTCCACTATCTATTTTCCATAGCCCTCTTTTCACTTGCTGGTAGTAGCTAGCCCCTTCTCCCTTGCTGGCACCAATCTTCTCTCCACTATCTCTCTCTCTCTGTCTCACTGAAGCTCCACAGCACTCGAAGCTCATTGAAGCTCCACCGACTGAAGCTTTATCGTAAAAGGCACCATCAATATGGTCTCTGTCTCTGTCTCTCTCTCAAAATGGTCTCGTGAGAATCGATCCTTTTGGGTTTCATGAGAATCGATCCATTTGTAGCTCATCTGCGTATTTTCTGTTCAAATTGATTTGTTGCGGACATTGGAACTGATAAATAAAGTTGTTCAAATTGATTTGTTGGAGACATTGGATTCGATAAATAGAGTTGTTCAAATTGATTTGTTGGGGACATTGAATACTATGTGTAGCTCATCTGGGTTTCGTGAGTAGCTTAAATTGATTTACATGATTTCGTCAGTTGCTCAAATCTATGTATAGCTCAAATTGATTTCCATGGTAATCGATCCATTTGTAGCTCATCTACTTATTTTTTGTTCAAATTTGTGGGTTTTGATTTGAGAGGCTCATCTGCGTATTTTTTGTTCAAATTTTTTGGGGGTGTTGAGAATCATGAGAGCGTTTTGATTTGATTCATCATCAAATTTGTGGGCTTGATCTGAGAGGGTTCATCGTCAAAAAATTTTTAGCAACCCCAAGTATTTTATAATATTTATTC